CAACAAAAAATTTCAAATTTTTTTAAATCAAAGAACCTTCCACACAGAAGGTCCAAAAATGTGCTTTTTACAGAATTGAAATCGGTTCAGCCGTCATACGGAAAATATTTCATTTTTATATATATTAGAGCTCTAGATACCCGGGTATCGAGCAATGCGATTAGCTCGATACTCGTTCGAAACTCGTTCATTGCTCAACTGCTCAAATGTTTGTTCAAAATTTTCGAGTTTTTGAACAATTTCATAAACAAAAGAAAATTTGTAAATTGTATTTGTCAGCAGCTGCTTTCTAATTCATGTTAAATAAATTATATTATTAAATACCAATGTAACAATCTTTGCATTATATATCAATAATTTGAAAAATTTAAAAAGTGGCTATCAAAAATGTCAATATAATAAAAAAAAACATTGCTCAAATTACTCGAAAAAACTCGAATTGCTCGAGCTCATGCTCGAAAATTTTCGAGTAATGAGCATTGAACAAGTGTGCGAGTACTCGCTGCTCATATACCCGGGCTGTTTGAAAATGTGCGAACAAAATCGAGAGCTCTAATATATATAGACTAGCAGAGCACCCGACGTCGTTCGGGGTAAGCAAATAAAAATATAAAACAGTAATACAAATATTCAGTTCAGCATAATTAAAGGAGACAAATTATTTTCTTTGTTTACATTAAGGCATCCTTATGAGCTATACTTTTAGCTTTATCTTGCTTTAATTAAATTATATATTGATCATCACTTGTACTATAAATCTTGTTCCATTATTAATATTAGATGAAGGTAACGATCAAATTTCTAAATTAAAATTAGTCTACTACGGTAAATTCCGTTTAGCTGCCTATTCGCTAAGCTGTTTTAGTGTACCTGCACTTTTTTGGTAGAATGCTTAATTCGAAAGGAGTTTTATTCATTATGAATGAACCATTTTCGTTTAACAGCATCGCGGGAATAAAAAACGATTTAATCTTTCCATTTCAAAATAATCTAAAGACGGCAAGGTTTCAAAAAGAAAAACACACAGTTTTAGATATCCTATTTATCAAATATATGAATACATATATGTATATCCCCCTTTTACAATCTCATTTATATATACTTTACTCTGAACACCTTCCATAGATACCTATGTCTGAATACCACACTTCAAGTTCATGTGACTTATGGTTCCCAATTTATGGCTGATTAAAAATTCCACGCCTACGGGCTGTGCCACGCCCCCTTTTATAAACTCATTCATATACACCTTACTATAAGCACATACCATAGATATGTCTGCATACCAAATTTAAACTTCATGTGACTTATGGTTATAAAGTTATAGCTGATAAAAACTTCCACGCCTATGGGATCCGCACCATCTTTTACAAACTCATTTATATTTATCTTTTTATAAGCACCAACCATAGCTATACCTGCATACCAAATTTCAAGTTCGTGCGACATATGGTTCCGAAGTTATAGCTGATAAAAATTTCCACGGATAAGGGATATTCCACGCCCCTTTCACAAACTCCTATAAACACCTACCATTGATATGTTTGCATACCAAATTTCAAGTGCGTGGGACTTATAGTTCAGAAGTTATAGCTGATAAAGGATTCCACGCCTATAGGATGTGCCACGCCCCCTTTTACAAACTCATTTACCTCATACCCTCATATAAGCACCTACTATTGATATGCCTTCATACCAAATTTCAAGTTCATGGGGCTTATGGTTCCGAAGTTATAGCTGATAAAATATTCCACGCCTATGGGATGTGCTACGCCCCCTTTAACAAACTCGTTTATATATACCCTCGCATGAGCACCTACCAATGATATGCCTGCATACCAAATTTCAAGTTCGTGGAACTTATAGTTCCGAAGTTATAGCTGATAAAAATTCCACGCCTGTGGGATGTGCCACGCCCCCTTTTACAAACTCGTTTATATATGCCATCCTATAAGCACCTACCATTGATATGTCTGCATACCTAATTTCAAGTTCGTAGGACTTATGGACCCGAAGTGCCACGCCCCTTTTAAA